GGGGGTTACTGTCATTTTCTCCAATCAGTGTGCATATGTGTGTGTGTATGTGTGAGAAAGAGAGAGAGAGAGATGTGAGGTCAAAAAGAGATTACAGCAAGTCTCACATTCTCTGGTCAATAAAAGCTGTGGAGTTCCCACACAATTTCAGAGGTCAGCGCCTCTGTTTCCTGCATGGTACTTTAATCATCTGCTCTTTTATTTTCTTTGTGTCTGTCTCTTTTTTACATGCACAAAAACAAACACGCACTGAAAGGGCACTTGCAGATAGCAGGCGGGATTAACTGTTAGTTTAAAATGCAGACTGGATAGTCAAGGGTTAATCCAACCCCCTAATCCTCAAGCGATAAAGAGCTTAACAAGGATGGTTCAGAGTTATGGATATTTAGAAATATGGGATATTTTTCTATAGCTGCTAAGTTTGACTTACACAACTCTCAGCAGGGAGGTTGAGGCAACAATGAAAAGAGGAGGAGGTTGGTGGGATAAGAACAGGGTCAGAGAGAGGGAGGGGAAGTGGGTGAATGATGAAAAACAGGAGGAAAAATATGATGAGAGAGAGCAAGATTCACACAGAGAGGGAATTGTTTTGATTTGATAAAAGATGGGCAGAGAAAAACAGTGGAATACAGGCATAGGCACATTTTACAGTATTCAGGTACAGGAGTGTTTTGTACTGTGTGCAGTGAGATTTGTTTTATTGGGCTAATCATGCCAAATTTACATCATAGAGACACCTCCACTTGTATTTAGAGACCAGAGTAGAGAGCATAATCAAGCAGAATGCAAATCAGACAGCAGGAGGGCTCATCTCAATGGGCTACATCCACTTTTGGACTGTCCATATCAACGTCTGTAGGGTCCACCTCTAATCATAGAACTAGAGTAACAGTGTACTGCTGTTATTTTTCACACTGGTTTCACTTTAAATGGGGCAAAGCAAAATAACTACACTGCCCCTGTAATGACACAGAAACATGACTAACAGTTAAACCCTCATGGAACAGGTGCCCTGAGAGTGAACCACCATTCGTTACCTTTCCATGCTCTCCATCCTGCGTTTAGGAGATTTTGTGCCTGTGCACCAGAAAAAATCACTTGGAGCAAAGAGTTAAGAAAGGTTATTTTATTGTCCTTATTACCTTCTGACCTCCTTGTTTCTGCTCATCTAGATGTGGCTAAATGTGTAATTGTGTGGTAGACTGCTAAAAGTAACTAAATGTATTCTTGAACATTACAGGTGTCTGTTTCAATTGTATTTCCAAGCCTAAACATCTCTTCATAGCCCTTTAACATAATGTATAATCAAATGTTCTGTTTAGAATATTTCTGTTTCCACTGTTTTTTTTGTGTGTGTGTTTCTCGCCTTTACATCAAATTTAGCAACATTGCTAAATACAGTGTGTAAATACCAACAATTCTTCTGTTGTTAAAACATGTCCCACCAGCACTTTGAATGCTACCAGCAAAGCCCAGATCCATGGCTCTCTCTGCCTTCAGGTTCAGAAAACTCCCTGGTTGTTCTCTGTCATTCTTCTCATTAAATTTGTGTGTTCAGCAAAGCGTTTGCTCACACTGGACTCAAACATCTGATACTCACTGTGGAACCGTAACTGAGGTGGACGTGTTTGTCATTTTGGTGAGTCATCAAGTTTTGACCCCCCCCTACCTGAGTACCCATCCGTACCATTGTACCAGGACCCTTAAAACACTGAGAGGTTTTAATGGAGAGTACAAGTGGCCAGTGGTGTGTGTATGTGTCGGTAAGGGAAATTCTGCAATGTCTCACAATAGTCAGTCCAGGTGCTTTGCAGCCCTCAATGCATGAATAATTCAATTACAGAGCCCATCCAAAGGATAGAGTAGCATATATCGTATATAGTGTATATAGTAGTCCACAAGGCAGACTAGCACACACACACATTTTCATTTGACAGTGTAGGGCTACATGTCAGGACATGTCTCGATAAACTAGTCAGTCATAAGCAACAACTATTTATCCCCCAAAATATTAATAAAAATAAATAAATCTAGTTAATCAAAGAGACTGTGTACATATGGTTCATTTTTAATTACAAATTTATTGCAAATATAGAAATAGATCTTTTGTACAGAAATCGCAAAGGGAAAAAATGTCAGTATCAGCAACAAATAATTAAAGAAAGAAAAAAGCCAAGAATTGTTCCTATCATCCAAACCTTTGTTTTGTCTTTCCCTTTTGGTCTCTAAACATTAATAAGTGTAGAGCTGAAACCAGAGGGGAGAGTCACATAAGATTTGAATAGAACTTGACCATGGGACTTTTAATTTGATGCAGAGAAGGCCCTTTTTCTAGCTCTTGCCTTTTGAGACCAAGTAGCCTCCTGATACTGTTAACCTGGCAAGAGCCATATTTGACACAAGTGTTACATACATGTCCGAATAGTCACTAAAATCATTTGATATTGTTGTGAGAATTTGCTTGACCCTTATGCTTAGGGATCACACAGATGGTGGTTACGCTTCAGTAACTGTATATTAGATGGTTGTGTTGTACCGGGCAGGATCATGGAAATACTGTTATTAGAAACGGGCTATTTATACAATTTATACATATTTTCAACTGGTACAACCTGTAAGATAGTGAAACGCCTCTACTCTCAGTTCCTTGTAAGTGATGGAAAAAAGAATGACAAAAAAATTACTAATTAACTAAAATGAAAATAAAATGTGTGACTAAAGCAAATGAAATGCAATGGTTCAACCACTTAAACACATTATTATACATCTGCACTGTGCTTTTCTCAAATGCGTCCTGTAGCTTTGTGACATTGTGCAGTGACTTGTGGAAAGTTGTATCCCTAACCTTAAAGGAATTACAGCTCAAATCGCTGACGATTGACTGGGCAGGTTTCGATATCCATAGCCTTACTGAATAATAGTCATCATCATGTCTATTTAATGGCAGCTGTCTCTGCATCATCTTACACAAATGCTGAATAACTTTGTTGCTGCAAGGCCAAGACACTATTAGCTTTTGAACAGATCAATCCATGGACATTTAATTTCCTCAATGAGTCAAGGGTGCCCCCTTTTCCCTGCCTTCTCTCTGTGGACTGACAGTCGAGTTGAGTATTCAATCTCTGGCATGGACAAATTCAATCATTCGGAGAACCACAACAGCACAGGATTGTGTGTTCAGAATTGCAAACAGAAAACATTAACATAGATAAGTATGATGTGCTTCTGACACAGAACGGCATCTGCTCTCACTGCAATGGGACCTTTAAGCGAGTTTCGCCACTCCGGGTCTGGATTTAGAGAACTGGGAGTTACAGATTCAGCTCCAGTACCAATAAACAACAGCTGCCATATCAGACTACAGTGCCATTTTATCCAAGTAAAACAGAACTCTACAAACTTATGATATGGCATTGCCATGTTGAGGACCTGGCTTAGCCTGGAGGTTGCATTTAATGCATTTAATGTTCTCTTTGTACTCGACATGGGGAGGCCTTTTCAGGTTTTGGCAAAGGCTGTGCCACAAAACAATCAATATATGGTTATAAAGTCTTGTATTATCGCTGTAGAATGTAAACATGACTATGACTCATGGCTGCTGTCATTGTATGGACCCTAATGCAATAACTAATGTATCAGCAGAACTGCAGTAGGTGTTACTTACACATTTTTGGATGGGTGCCAAATGAAATGTGCTCAAGACTCCTTGTTGTCTCATATAGGCTCTACTCTACCCGATGAAACCACTTTATCTGTGGTCAAACTCATTCATTTGAATTTAACTGATCTAAAAATGATCAATGTTAGATGTTTTTGAGTGCTATGGAATATAAATACATTTTTCATAGATATAATTTTAGGTAATACAGTGGTGGTAATCTATTGTTACTGTCTCAAGTCCATTTGCAGTATTTTCTGTGTACACAAAAAGCATGTACAAGAGTGTATAATAAACTAGTGTACAATAAAAGAGTGATGATAAAAGACATGGCTTTAAAGTGAATTCAGTTAAGTAGTTGGATAGAAAACCAGCAGGATCTGAGAGCAGAGGATGATGAATGAAAATCACTGATTTAGCTAACAGCGAGTGGGCTAAAGCTGAGGGAGAAGCCGCTGAGGCTGCATTGATTTTCCAGTGACTTCTAACTGATGGATTGGGATTAGGTTAAGACCATTAGACAGTCCACAGTGTGTGTGATTGCATCACTTGAGCACACTCTTTAAAGATGTATTCTTATACATATATTACGTCCCTTAACTGAAAAAAAAACAAACAACTTCCATAAAGGAGACAGCTGAGTTCAGAGAAAATACAACCACAAACTGTGACAGGGCCCGGCCTCAAGCCAAAGAAGATAGCTTTGCATGTCTGCCATGGAGAATAATCTTTGTAATGGAGAAGAATGGAGTGCTGTTTCTCGTAATTTAATGGATGTAAACACCCACCAGCCTCAGACATTTTTACCCGCTCTTTGCACTGCGCACCCCACCAGCATGTGGCTAAAACAGTAGCAAGGGTAACTGCAGTGTCAGTAATCAGTATAACCACCCAAATGAAAACCAATAAGAATGTAATATAAAACGTCACAGAGAATATAAAACGGCTGAAGCCTAAATGTTCAAATCAAAGGTACTTGACTGTATATCAGCCCCTACAGTTTTTGTTTTCAATGTACGTTCACTCATTGTACACAACAATATATTTTTGTCTCTCAAAAAATACAGGGAATCATGCAAATATAACAACTTTTCTTTTATGTAGTACACTATGTGAAGCTTTCTCTGTTCTTAAACCATTATAACATATTTCATTGATATCATTGCAAGTACAAAAAGTCAATCCCTCAGTTACCAATAACGCCCCCCCCCCCCCAAACAAAAATAGCTCCCCCAAAAACAAACAAAGACAAACAGCCAACTGAAAATAGAGAAACACACAGACATATCAAGATATCAGGCTGAGTATAAAACATCCATAGAAGCTTTTTTTAACCATAGCATTTTTTTTTTCTTTTATGTAGTGTACAAAATTCACAGATATTTCACAGATTCTTTAAGTCCTTTGTCCATCTTTGGAAATAAACCTTGCAGAGTTAATGCATATTGTGTCAGTGTAAATAAACATGTGTAAAAAGTGTCCACGGTCCAATCAGGTGGCATACCTTAGGAGTTTCAAATGCTCTTCTGCCCAGAAAGCCTATTATTTAGAATTATCAGAGGTTTCTCTATCTTAAATGTGTTTGCAGCTCAAAAAACAACTGCCAATGAAATTCAAAATCCATCCATGTGCAGACTACTTGCTTGTTTTGGAGCATAGAATAGCTCACAGACAAAGCTTTGTGTGTCAACCTGCATGGTTGTCCAATTAGAGATGCAAAACATATTAGATATTCTGATGAGGACTTTTTGTTGTCAGTGCATGCTTTCAACATAAATTAAATTTTTATTTAATTTGGGGATTTTGTATTTTTCAAACTCCTTTTTAGAGTGCTTGGCAGTTGAGAAGGCAGCGTTGGCAGTGCTCAGACTGTCAGAGCTGCCTCCTAAAGTGTGAAGAATGACCAAGAAATCAGTCACGCTAAGACATATTTCTTTTGTCTCAACTGACTTCCTTTTTCGTTCTTTTGATAAATATAATTTCACATTAAAAAGAGAAATATTAAAATTGGCATGCATTTGACTTTTTTTTTTATCACATGAGCCCTTCTGTGGCTATCATGAGGAGACACACAGTATAGTTTCCCATTTATCAAATTTGGCACATAATTCACACAGGCTAATCTCCCACACAGTAAGCTAATAGACTTAATAGACTATTAGACAAAAGGTCTAAAGATACCAAATAAAAGGATTTGTAACCCACTGTCACTGCTAATACGTGCCTGTCACCTGCCTTAAACATAAGTGGAAATGAAGCTGTCCTTCTTAAGGCTTTAAAGGAGGGCGGCATTCAGTCATGAGAAATGCATATGTATCTGAATGTTTTGCAAGAGCTGTTCCCACAGTACACTTCTGTTATGCATGCACATGTGTGTTTTAGTGTAGCCACGCGTCCACATCTTTTATCCCAGATGTCTGCCTGCATTTCCCTAAATTCAGCCATTCCTCTCTTATTGCTCACTTCTCTTTGAAGACCTTGCCCATTACCTGCCTTACATGAAAGAGTCATTTCAGTTTAGTCAGACTGTGACTCATTGTGACTCACTTTTATAGGTTCCATTTTTGTAGTCTGCTGTGTGTGTGTGTGTGTGTGTGTGTGTGTGTGTGTGTGTGTGTCTGCTTGTGTGCTGTGTGTGTGTGTTTTCATGGGTATTGGGGAGGAGAAGGTAGTAGAGAGAGAAAATCACTCTAATGCCACGTAATAGCCTGAAAAAAAAAAGAAACTAGTTTGCTGTTGGTGTGAAAAAGTCGACATGGATTATTCAACTTACATCCTTTTTTTCCTGGTTGTGACTAATTGCGTTTAATTACTCAGCTTTGCAAATCTCTCTTTCAGTATAAATCATCATCTCTTGTTGCATCTAGGCATTGGTCTACCAGTCTACATTGATTTCAGTTAGCAGGTTTATATATTATTATCAACCACATCTTTCTGTAATGCGGAAATAAGAATAATGTGCATTGTAATATGTTGAATAATCAGTCAATACCTATTATAGTTCATACTATACATTGGCCTGTATGTATGTTAAAACACTGGCTGCTTTGACACAGACTTTCAGTTTTAATCTACAGATTTGTGTAAATTTTTGTTCTTCATTGTAGAAGAATATGATCTAGTAAATGGTCAAGCAAAAGAGTTAGTCAGATTTCTCTGTATTAGTAATTAGTATTAAATTTGCATCCTCGGATTACCCTCAAATGACGATGACCACACACTGAAGCAGTGTCACACTTTGACAGACAGTGCTTCGAGCATTAATCACATTTGTAAAAATGTGGTCTTTACTAATGGAAGCATTTAACTCCTTTAGTAATTTAGAATCTGATTAGACATAAACCCACACCCCATTTTGAGCTCTGATTTATTATTAAAGAAACTGTGTTTAGTTTAATTGGATCAGACTTTAAATCAAGGCATCAAAGGATTAACATGTTAGAACTGAAAGCGTCTGTGATTTTCTTATGGTATACCAAGATAGGGGAAGCAACCCGAGCTAGCCTCCCACAAAAGGACTGAACATTAACAGCACATTAGGTGGTTTTCTCACGTCTGGCTTTTCTGTGGCTCTGAGACAAACAACAAGGACAGTTCTACAAAAAGGACCATTGATCTCCCAGTGAGCTACCCTCCAGGGTTCCACGAGTATATGAGCTGGGAAGGAAGACTAGTTTTTTCTTTTGTTTGATGCTAGCTTTGTGGGACAAAAAAATCCAAACAGGTATGATACTGCTTGAGTTATTAGTTGTTAGTAATCAGCTGGTAAATTATTTGAGCTGGTGATAACCCTAGAATGTGCTCTGTTTTATTGAAAGCTTCAATCCTGTAGAGTGACAACTGTAGATGATTCTCCAATAACCCCCCCAAAAAACTAAAACTTTATGAATTACCCCGAAAGCTCCAAGGCCAATTAACACAAATGTTTGGTCTAAGCCACCAATTCTAGCTTTGCTTGAGGGGAGCAACAACAACAGTTTATTTGGGAGTGCAGCGCTGCTGAAAAACAAGTTCCTTAGCCTCTTTTGTTAATATTTGTACCTGTTTTTACTGCTGTTTGAAAATTGACTGAGTTATAGAAAATACTTGCTAGTCAAGTTTGAATTTTGTGTAAACTAGTCTTCATTTCCATTTTGCATGACACTCTTGTGGCTATTTTGGCAGCAGGATTTCAAGTAATTATTAATGATGAGAAACACAATATCCCCTCCAACTACGGCAACAGCACTCATGTGGGCTATGGTGAAAACACTGTTAATAAATTGTTAGCAAGATTGGCACTTCTCACACAGACACTGAAAATGTTCTCTGTTGAGCCAGCAATGCCATATCATCATAGAGCTTCATCCAAATATGAGCAGAAGAGCACTTGAATGTACATGTGTCCCCTGAAAATCTATTTCCTGAAAAATACATTAGTGTGTTAAATATGTTAATTCAAATAGAAAATGTATGAAATGAAAAGTCGTCCATGGAAACAGTAATAATCAGGATTTTCTGTCACATTCCATTTTGTCAGGTGAATGAAAATGAATGGCAGCTGGAATGATCCTGCTATTACTGATCATTTTGAATTTGCTGTTATACTTATCCTTAGTGTCCATGTCTGTAAACTTGTTATGGCAGTTGAGGATCTGGGAAGTTTAACACACCATGTTCTCTCTGTGGGGTTAGGTACTCCTTTAATGTAATAGCAAAGAAAATCCTTTTTTCTGATTAAGTGAAAGTCTGTCAATTACAGTAACACGTTCCTTTGGAAACTTTGTTATCTCAGATAATAGGAGATCAGCAGGAGACTAAACATTTCCAAGACTGATCTTCTTCACATGGTGCTTTATCATAAAAAGAAGGCGGATGAGGTGGTGCATCCCAGACATGTTACTAAAAGATGACAGTGAGGCTCTTGATCTCATGTGGTCAATTCAACTGTAAACACTCACAGCACAACACTGACTCCAAGGTTTATGACCTCTGAACCTGACTGTGTGGAAACATCTTAATAAAACAAGGAAAAAGTGACAGGGATAGATGTTTTATGGAACCAAAGAGGGATGAAGAAATACATAGATCAATATGGATTTACCATTATATACCACCGTTTCACATTTGCATTCTTATTCCAGTTCGACCTGCATTTATTCAAAGGAGTCAAGCGCATGCTAAAGATCAAATATTCAACAAAAGAAGAAAAGCAGTGTTGATATGTGCTGTGCAGACCCAGGTCCTGCCTGCAAGAAAGGCAATTTCTGACTTTTCTCATTTAATAAAACGGAACAGGACAGATTCAGTGTCCTGCTAGTGCCAAACCCATATCCCATTGGACCCGTGGGAGCGGGAAGGTGGTGGGAGGCGGGCCAAATAACATCATCCACAATAAACAAGTGAGGATCAACAGATAAAAATGTTCCTGAAATTAAACTTGTCACTATAACTTATTTTCTCTTGAATATAGCCCTGAATAAAAATGTGGAGCAAGGGCCACTGATTAAGTTTTCACATTTTTAGGGTAGGGTGTCTCCGATTGTGTATGTTAGCTGATGATGCAAAAATTTAACAGCTACACAGCACTTTGGGTAAAAAGGATGCCTTTTGTCAGAATGCCAGGCAATGACACTCTCATTTAGGAAAATCATAATTAGATTATTTCAATAGAAAAGGCCCAGTGGATGTATAACACTTTTAATGAATGGAGACTAGATTATGGCTGTGTTAGCAAGAGGCACTGCGCTACAGTGGTATATCTAAGCATCACAGTCATGTGATGTATGTCTGGAAAAATACAGTTACCATTGTATATCTGCCCATGCCATTAATAATCTATAAGTGTTTAGACATCCAGTCACTGGGAAAGATATTGACAACTATTCATTTAGGTAAATTTGGGCAAATACAATATAATCTTACAAGGCATGCCAACACCCACTGACCACTGTAAACCACACAGCCACACACACAATCATGAAGAGTAAAGTGCAAGCGAACATGCCTGTCACAAGTTGGCTAATTAAGTTATCAATAGACAACAATAGTAATTTCCATAACAGAACAGACACGTTGGCAGTAATTAGAAGTGTCCTTTCCCTCTGTGCCTCATTCAGTTTTCATGTTAGAGAAAGGATTTGGAATGTACTGTGGTGCTCAATGATGCAAATAGATTTCCCCATACCCTGCTTATAATCTGCTTACATTCACAGTGGCAGTGGTATCCTTACTTGTCTTCCATTTTTTCTTTTATGCCCAATTTCAATTTTCAATTTCTCTTGATCTCTGTCACATATGGGTCACATCTCTCATGCCATTTTTTAACAGGATTGTAAGAGCTCATTCGGCTATTAGTTAAATTTCCCAATTGTACAGGTAAGTAGCATCTAATTACCTTCATTAAGGAAACATTATTTTGCCATCTGTACTCCTTCAAATTATGCTCACAGTTCTGATCAATACTTGGACAAATACTGTTTAGGGCGGTTTTGGATAGCTATGGGACAACGTTCCTCACACTATTCATTGACCCATGCGAGAGTGTTAGTTGGAAAGATGTGTTGAACACCCCAGGGTGCAATCATAGCACTATTTTAAACTAAGGTTCTACTGTAATCTCTCTCACGATTTTCTTATGCTACAGGCCCCTCAAGCCCACCTCTCTTTGTTTGTTAATGTCCTTTGAATTTCTTCTTTCTTTTTGGGTGACAGATGTTATTGAAATGCAAATTCCTCAGCTGCATGAATGATCTCATAGAAGAGAGAGAGGTCCTGCATTTGACAACTCTGTTCGCTAATCGGCATCCCTTCACTTATAAGTCTAAACATATCCAAGTTTACACTGCAAATTGATACAGCACCCAATACAAAACAGGAAACAACATCTTTGATCACACAAGCTTAAAATGAAGGGTATCAACGTTTACCTTCTGTGATTACCCATAGATTAAAACATGGCACTGATAAAGATGGTCCATAAGATCACAAAATGTGATCACTCAAAGAGTACTAAATTACACAGTTGGCATTTGCTCTCTGTGCTATAATAAAACCCATAAACACTAAAAGAGAATGATCCAGAAATGGTGCTACAATGAAGTGTAAAAGAAAACACCTTAATGACTCGCGTATCCCAGGCACAGTTTCACAGTCCTTGCTCTTAGGACAATATTCTATACACCTAGCATGCCAAAAATAATCCAAAGGCAAAATTTTGTCCTACGATTTTCTCTTAATTTTTCTCTGGCTTACAGGCCTATCAGAGAAGTTTGCAAATTATTTTTCCCACATTGCTTATTTGTGGTCCCTCAGTCACAGCTTCTGCTGTGCTGACACACCCTTCCAATAATCAAGGATGTCATGCAGGTCCTCGCCTTTAGCGAACTGCACCTTTTTTCGAAGGGCATTCCCGGCCGTCACATAACAGGCCTCATCCCGCTGGCCTTTCCGGTAGGGACGAAAACGCTCCCAGATCCGCAGTGAGCTCTCTGAGGAGTACTCTGGACTGGAGGAGTAGCCAGAGTAACTGGAATGGTGGCGGGCAGGCGAAAGCTGGGAGTAAGATGCTGCATCCCTGCGGGAGCGCGTCAAGGGCTTTAGGAAGGAAACCCTCTGGGCTGGGGAGCCCTGGTGGGAGCCTTCATAGTAGAGAGCTGGGACAGAGTGGCGGTGCTCCGAGCAGTGGTAGTCCTGCTGCACCTCCAGCTGCTGCTGCTGCTGCTGCTGCTGCTGTTGTATTTGTTGCTGTTGATGGTAATGGTGCGGCTTCTGGCTGTCCTGATGTTGGGCACCAACACCACCACTGTCGCAACCACCACCACCCCCTCCAATGCAGCTCCCACTCCCTACTAAAGGTAGCCTCTCCAGGGGCTCCCCACAGCCCACGGGACTGGCCCGGTCTGGGTACTGCTGCTGTTGTTGATTACAGGCATCTGGGCTTCTTGGCTCAGGAACATCCAGACTATATACCCTTGCTCCTCCCCGTTCCCTGTCCCGACTCATGGAGCCACAAGAGGTCGTACTGCACTGTTTCTTGACAGCATTAACAATAACCACAGCTGCATCTGCACTCATTTGCCGCTGAATGGGACGTACAGCAGTGGCTGGTGGAGGGGGCCTGTAGGGAGGAGTGACGACAAAACCACCACCACTGATTCCTGGGCGCTCAGAGAGCGGGGCATTCAAGGCAGGGAGAGGAGGTGGGGGGGGTATTTTGTTGGGACCAAGGGCCTGGCACGTCTCGGTCACCCCTTGGGAGAGTGGGATTAGGCCACGAGTAAGGGATGATGTGCTGGTGGGGGGAGGTGAGGTGGGATTGGAGGAGGCTGTGGGGTTAGTAGAGGCCCCTGAAGCAGCCACTGCTGCATCCAATTTCAGTGCATCAATGCAGTTGTTAATGATCTGGTTAACCTTGTCCACTTCCATGGCAATGGTGGAAATCTCTGATGCAGAGCCATGTCCATCATCATCTGAGTCATCCCCAACATCAGTTCCATCATCATCTCTCAAGTCTCCCCCCCTCATCCCTCCATGCCCACCATCTCCCATCCTTTCCATCCCTGCCCCTCCAGTTCTTATATCCATATAGTTTCCTTTACTTGTTGCCATTGCCTCTGAAAACGCAGTAGCCATCTTTTCTACTTGCGGGATAGAGGAAAGTCTAGAGGAACTGGTGTTGGCTGAGTGGAGCATTCCCGAGCTAGAGGATGTGGACATGGGGATATTACCTCCATGGTGGTGCTGATACTGGCGATGTTCTCTGGACTGCTCCTGAAGCTTGTGGACTGATGATAGATCATTTGCCACTGCTGCTGCCACCTCTGGTCCGTAGCGCATTTCCAGAATAGTTTTCTTGACACAGATAGACTTCTTCTTCTCGTCATGCATCCGTTTCTTACGTAGACAATAGTAGACAAGGCCTAAAACAATGAGCATGCCAAAAAGACAGCCCACAATGGTCATTATGTAGTGAGTAGTAGTGGAAGGCGTGGGGAGCATGTCATCTTGATTTTGTGCCCGTGTGGAAAACTGGAGGCAGGTGTGGTTGTAACGTTGAGAGTTGCGGATGGATGCTACACAGAAGGTGTAATTGGTGTGTGGTTTGAGTTTGTTGAGGGTGATCATCTCCTTCTTGTTCTTCAAATTCATGACGTCAGACACGTATGTGTGGTTGTATTGCGTTAGAATATACATTTTGCTGTAGGGCCTTGGAATCTGCACAAGGAGAGAGGCTGATGACAATGAGACATGATGGAGCTTGATGCTGGGAATGAAGCTGTGTTCAGTAGATGAGGAAGATGTGGTCGGCTGGTTATACGGCCCCACACCCCCGAACATTTCTGGTCCGAGCCCAGAAGGACCATCCAGATCTGGTGGGAGAGAGGTCATTCCTGGAATCATCACTCCATCTCGGCAGTGATGGTACAAAATATTTTTGGCATTCCGACCAGCATGGCCAGCAGCGATGAGTAAGGGGAAGCCAAACATCTCCCGGGGCGTCTCACACTGGAGGCGGTCATAGGTGTGTGTTACATTGTTGAAGGACTCTAACCAGGTTAGGAAGCTGTAAAGATCACAGCCGCAATGGAATGGATTTGCTGCCAGTTCACACACCATCAGCCGACTAAGAACTGTGAATGTGGATGGGTCAATGCGGGCAAGTTTGTTTGATGACAGGTCAATGCTGCTGAGGCTGGGGCACTCCCAGAATGCATTGCTGGCAATAACCTCAATGAGGTTGTGCTGGAGGAAGAGGCATTGCATGCGGCCAAGCCCTCTCATCATACCCTCTGTTAAGTTCGTCAGCTTGTTGTAGCCCAGCTGAAGAACCTGAAAAAGACCCACAAAAGTTTAAACTTTTTACATTGTGGGCTTAGTTTTGTCATCATGTGTACTGCTGGTATTAAAATCTTCATTCAGCTCAACTAATGGATTCGGTTATGCTGCAGCATTGTCTACAACAGACACCAGAAGGGCAAGCAACACAGCGCACAGTACAATTATTTGTCTTTAATAAGTTGTACACGTGCACTCTTTCAATGCAAACTATAACAAACTGTCCTCTCATTTTTCAGGTTTCATGTTCTTGTACTGTTGATGGTTTAAACAATATGGTAAAATTGGGGTTTTGTTGACAACCTGTGTGATTATCACAGTGTGTCACTTGCCCAGTTGATGCTGTTTAAGCAATGCCTCAGACTTCATTCATCAAGTTGTTGAGGAATATATTATCATGCCCAATCAAGGTTGTAAAAACAATCATGTATACTTAGACTTGGAGAACGTCTGTAACCAAGCCTTTTTTTTATTCTAATGATTGCCAATTCACTCACCCTCATGTCTGTGTTGTTAGGGATATTATGCCTGCAACTGAGTTTACTGAGGAAAATTATAATGAAACACAGTTACCATCATTCTTAATACTATTTAACTAATTATGGTCTCCTTCAAATGCATGTTTAATGCATTCAGCAAACGAAACCTCTACAATGAAATGTCCCACTCTATTTCAAATTAAAATAAAGAACATAGTTCAGTGACATGTTATAAGGTGCTAGTTTCAAGTTCTAATGCATTCTGAACAATATTCTTGTGTTAATCTTTTATTATCCATATTCCCATCACCTGTAGGTTGGCTTGTCCTGCAAAGGCTCCATCCTCAATATAGCTGATTTCATTCTTGGTGAGGTTGAGGTCAGTCAGGTTGGTGAAACGGTACATGGAGCTGAAGAGCACAGCTTTCAGCTTGTTCTCATTCAATCTCAAGTCATGGACCGTGTTGTTGATGTGCTGGGGGATTGTCTCATACGGTGGCTGGTTCTGACTGCAGATGGCCAGCCACACATAGCCTTTGTCTCCCTCAATGAGCCAGCAGTCCCCATTTACCACGTTGGGAAAGTGGGAGAAGAATAGGAGAGAGGGAAGAATAAGAAGAAGGAGAGTGGAGGTGGAAGAAGCACCCTGCATAATGTTGATGAAAAGAAATGAGGAAGAGGATAAGCTATAATTATTAAGTAGAGGAATGTCGGGTCAGGCAGGTAGGAAGGTTGTGTTTGCAGGAGAAAGGGAAGCAACACTGTTGTTAGGATAGATTTCCAAAGAGGGTCGGGGTTGGGTGCTGAAAAAGGGGCGAAACCTTCACAATGCCAGTCACAGCTTTATGACCATCATGGCAATTAGCAGGGGACCCATGTTATGTCATATCTTGGGCTGCAGTGCGGGGTGGCACAGCTTGTCTTCATAGTCTCTCCTTTTTCTTCCGCTGTGGCTGACTCAAATGGATGGGCCCTTGGAATAATGGAGAATCTATAGGGGAGAATATAACAAAATAAAGATAAGAAATAAAGCAAATTCAATATAATGTGATAAATGATACATGATGGCAAAGACTATTGTTTATTACTTGTTCTGCATAAATATTATACTGTCCACACTGCATATATTGCCTGCACTCTTTGCACAAATGACAACAGTATTGAAACCAAAATCTAAATAAATTATATTTGAATTCAGACTCCACCAACTTCCTGTAACATTTTATTGCCTCTGCATTATTATTTTTGCTGCACCTGCAGGCATCCAAAAATCCATCTCACTTCACCTCCGGGGCTTGTTTCTTCAGCCGATGCTGTTTCTTGTCATGTAAATATATGCATGCAGTAATGCCCCAACAGGCCCCCTTTTAGCCCCCCCCCCCCTCCCCCACACACACACCCACCCCACTTGATCCACCACCTCGTAAGGCTATGAGGTCATCAAGTTTTGGCTGATACCTATGTGCACCTGTGAATCTGTCCTCAGTCCTCAGAGAGGAGGATTCCTTTTTTAAACACGAAGAGCAGCATTAATCACCCAAATGCTGACACCACACTGTCTCCACAGACATTCCTTGTTATGACACTATCCTGCCAAAACCTAAGCTCTCTATCCCATCTGCATGTCATTTGAATAGCAGTCAAACGTTTACATAAGGAGAGGATTAGCTGCCTGTTGCATCACGGTAGACATTGTCCTCTTGCCGACTCAGCAGCTTGGGAAAACATACAATTACACACACATTACACAAACATGCGCAATGAAATGGACACGTCCTCAGACAAGCATATGCCTGTGTAGACATACATACTCAAACTTGTACAGACATGCATAGTCAAAGCTATAAAGATTTATTCTGAACACATTATTGGTGTGCTGTTAATGACATTATGTACTACTGTTTATCTTTCTACATGTAGTACTCTCTCAACTTTTGTCATCTCACATCTCAATTTTACATTGTCTTGATCATCATTCCATGAATATAACAATGCAAATCTCTGTATCTTTTTCTGACGAACAGGCCAGATTTCTTCTTTGTACTCCGAATTCAGACTTCCTTCTAATTCCGACTTTTCCACGCTCCCTCGAGGTGTCAGCACAGAATCAGGTCCATCCCCCATTTTTTAATCTACTACTTCTACTGCAGAAAACTGTAATACTACGTGTGTGAAATGTTACATTGTCATGTAGATCAAATGACCATAGACACCTGCTAGGTTAACTGCCTCCTCTTATTAAGAAGACACAGGGTAAAGGAAATAGAACACATGTGGTTGTCAAGGTGGTCTTAATGTTTATGTTTGACAGGTTGATATAACATATGGATATAAAGACAAAGCTGCATCAAAATGTGTATAATCTAGTCACAAACAGACAGCTAGAAAAACAGGTGCAAATGCACCCACAAATCACTGTGGATGCATTAAGTTTCAATCACTCAAGCCACTCAATGACCTATTTGATTTTATGTGCCCCTGACTGTACTAAAAACGACCACTTTATGGTAAGCTACAGCACAACAAACATCCTACTCATGGTTGATGGGAATAATAATAGCTTAAACATAATGCTAAGTATGTTGAGGGGTGCTCATTGAAGACCTGTGTGAGCTCCAGTCAAAACTGGATCCTGACACAATCTGACTGGATCTAAAGTATTTCAGTGCCAGATTAGTGTGAAGGTCATCAGGACTCACTGTACAAATAGTTGTTGGCTCAGTCATGAGACAGAAACAAACTGGACACAGGACAGGAGCTGGTTAGATTCGATTTGTAAAACATGTCCCTCCATCTGCATGTTTTATATTAATACCAAAGACACACAATAATGAAGCCAAAAATTTGACAGACTTTCAGGTGTTCATTTCCTGAACACCTGTGAAGACAGTGTTTTGTTGGAAGGGCTCTATGATACAGTAAGACATGAGTAAGCTGTCTTTGCAAGTCTTGTTAGTAGTCCAGGAGAGGTTTACAGACAAATGGAAATGCATTTAGCAAAAACAACTTAACATTCATATATTTTATTTGTATATGACCCCAATCTCCATATCACTTTTTGTTTTGATGACATAATATATTTCCATAAACGATTCTCGCCTGGCAAATGAGCTGAACCAGTTCTACTGCCTCTTTGAGAGTCAATTGGACACCATCCCCTGTGACTCCTCCTCTCAGCTTCAGCCTCAGTCCACCACTTCTTCCCCCCCCTCCTCAGAGCTGGCCAGCTCCACCCCCTCCCCTCCTCTCTCCATCACAGAGAGGGAAGTCAACGGTCTTTTCAGGAGGCAGAAACCCTGCAAAGCAGCTGGGCCGGACTCTGTCTCCCCATCCACCCTGAAGCACTGTGCTGATCAGCTGTCTCCGGTGTTCACAGACATTTTTAACACCTCACTGGAGACATGCCATGTCCCAGCCTGCTTCAAAGCCTCCACTATCATCCCTGTCCCCAACAAACCAAGGACCACTGGACTAAACGACTACAGACCCGTCGCCCTGACCTCTGTGGTTATGAAGTCCTTTGAACGCCTTGTGTTGTTCAACCTAAAAATCCATTACAGACCCACTCCTGGAACCCCTGCAGTTCGCCTACAGAGCCAACAGGTCTGTAGATGATGCAGTAAACATGGCCCTTCACTTCTTCCTCCAGCACCTGGACTCCCCAGGAACCTACGCCAGGATCCTGTTTGTGGACTTCAGCTCTGCTTTTAACACCATCATCCCGGCCCTGCTGCAGGACAAGCTCTCCCAGCTGAGTATGCCTGACTCCACCTGCAGGTGGATCACTGACTTCCTGATGGACAGAAAGCAGCACGTGAAGCTGGGAAAACATGTCTCTGACTCCAGGACCATCAGCACTGGTTCACCTCAAGGCTGCGTTCTTTCCCCTCTCCTCTTCTCCCAGTATACCAACAGCTGCACCTCCAGTCACCAGTCTGTCAAGCTCCTGAAGTTTGTGGACGACACCACCCTCATTGGGCTCATCTCAAGTGGGATGACGACCATCTGGTGACCTGGTGCAGCCAGAACAGTCTGGAGCTCAACGCTCTGAAGACCGTGTAGATGGTCGTGGACTTCAGAAAGAGCACAGCCCCACCCTCCCCCATTATCCTGTGTGACTCCCCCGTCACCACTGTGGACTCCTTCCACTTCCTGGGCACCATCATCTCCCAGGACCTCAAGTGGGAGCTGAACATCACCTCCTTCACCAAGAAGGCCCTGCAGAGGATGTACTTCCTGCGGCAACTGAAGAAGTTCAGCCTGCCAAAGACAATGATGGTGCACTTCTACACCGCCATCATTGAGTCCATCCTCACCTCCTCCATCACTATCTGGTACGCTGCTGCCACTGCCAGGGACAAGGGCTGGCTGCAGCGCATCATTCGCTCTGCAGAGAAGGTGATTGGCTGCAATCTTCCTTCTCTTCTGGACCTGTACTCCTCGAGGACTCTGAGGCGAACAGGAAAGATTGCAGCTGACTCCTCCCACCCCGGGACACAAACTGTTTCAGACTCTCCCCTCTGGCAGGAGGCTGCGGTCCATCAGGACCAAAACCTCTTGCCACAAAAACAGTTTCTTGTTGTTGATTGTTGATCTTTGTTGTTGTATATTTTTATGTTGTCAGTTTATATATTTATATGTACACAATATTCTCTTCCGTTGCGTTACTTCTGCACGGCACAGACCCAGAATAATGCACATGTATATATCTGCAACGTTGTTCTTCCATTCTATATTTATATATTTCTACATTTATTTATGTTGACTGTATGTTTGTCTACGTGTAGCACCTTATCACCACAGCAAACTCCTCGTATGTGTAAAAAACAACTTGGCAATAAAGCTCCTTCTGAATCTGATTCTGATTTAATCTTTAATATAATCAAGTCATAATCTTTGTTATAAACACATCAATAAATCAATTTTGATTGTATTTTGTCAATCTGTAATAAATTCAGTTATTAACATCACAAAAAAAAACTTTGTTTGCTCAGTTGGGGACTGGCATCTTTTGAAATCTTTACCCCGCCACCTTCACATACTATCTGCATAAATAATAGATATTACATTTTTGATTTGTTCCACTGTTCATGTCCCAGGCTCTATGCAGGCCTGCACACACCTCACTCTATCGTCTGAGGTTTATCCCCTCCACATGAGACATGATCTCATTTGGTGCTCCACATAGTGAAACCCAGAGGGTTCACATGAGGGAGGCAGGAAGCACAGTAGTTCTGTATGTGTGCGTGTTCAGGGATATGATTGCATAATTTGGAATATGGGACATGCAGAACACCTGTCTCAAAGGGAAAGAGCATGACTCATAACACTGATTCTTTTGTAACTATGAAAATGAGATCAAACTTTTTACTTCATTGCTGCAGACTGCTGATGTGCATTGTAAGATTTGATTCCATGAAAACTATGAGATATATTTATCTTATTGTGTACATACTACTTTAAAATTTGATAGTTTTATAATACTATATACAAGCAAGCAATTGTTTTTGTAATTTTTAACAATACCTTTATATATAACATTTCATGGGAGTTCTTTTTGACCTGTACTTGTGGAGCATATACAGTCATGTAATCTGAGCGGGTCACAGCAGCAGAAATGGTTAAAATCTTGGAAGGTAGCAGGTGAACAGGTGGTGCAAGGGTAGCTGCAGGTATCTGACTGTCCTACATCCACCTTTTCCAGAAATACATCCAGTAACACTTTTCAAAAGCCTCATCTTGTAATTGAATTACTGCCATGCCTCACAAAGAGGAACTGAAGTTACTAATTGAACCCTTAAACACAAATCAATCAAATTCAAGTGCTATCTGCTCTGGAATGTAAAGGTAAAATTACAAGACATCAGAACACATCATTTGGTAAATTAAAAGAGATTTTGATTTAGCACATCTATTTTACCAAATATGTTCAAGATCAATTTTCTTCCATCTTTGGAAGAACAATTTTAAAGCAAAACACATTGTGAAGGA